AGAGAGAGAGAGAGAGAGAGAGAGAGAGAGAGAGAGAGAGAGAGAGATAGAGAGCTATGATTAGCCGGACGGCGACGCACGTTCCAGCATCTGCGCGCTTCGGCGTCGTACTTCGAGCACGTGTTCGCGTCGCCGTCGCCGTCGCCGTCGTCGTCGTCAGCGGTCCATGCCGCGTACACGCGTCTGTCTGCGTCGTCGGTACGCCTGCCAGGAGCCGTCACGCTGTCCCGTCTTCGGTCGGCGCGCCGCGCCCTTCCGTTCCCCCGTTTCCTCCGCGTCTCCACCGAGCCCGGTTGAAGACGCGAGATTTTTGGAATAACGTAAGATGAGAAGCGTCAATAAAGTGAGAAAGTAGATCAAGTTCCGCGTCTCCAGGTATTTTTCGTGAAAAGAGAGAGAGAGAGAGAGAGAAGTGATTCTCTTTTGACGAAGAGCATGTTCTTCAAATCATATTTATTTGTCTTATGGCTTGGTCTTCCTCGAGTGATGTCGGATGAGGAGCATTTGTGATAGTTGGACATGTCGGATCCATTAGATTTTCTTCGAAGATATTCCTAAAAGGCGGCATGGCCCTTTGAGTCGGATTTATTTGAGTTATACTCTAAGACTTCAATTCGTAGAATTCATTTGAGAGATGGATACTCGTTTGAGAGATCGTAAGAAACTCAATGAAGCGCTAATCAGTGGAGCTAAATTAATAAGTATAAACGTAAATGATTAAAATTAAGATATGAAAAAGAGTAAACTTATCCTAAGGAAACGCTAAAGCACGCATGCACAACTTAAAGTGTTAATCCTCTGAGTCAATTAAATTTACGTATAAATTTACTTATAATTAGCTGCATTAGATATGTTTGTGGCAATAACTGCGCATTCAGGTTTCTTATTTTTTTTAATTATTTTTTATTGCCGCGTAAATATCTGTCTTTCATAGCAATAAAATCGCAATACTACTCTTAACACTCTGGTTTATATTTTGTTAAGAATATGCGCGACCAATGTGCAGGATAATAGATGATGATAAAAGAAAAACCAAGATATCTGCTGTTTCTAAAAATAAATCTTAGTAAACGAAAGTGAATACAATTTGAAAAATAGCAGACATTTTTAAGAAATAGCAGATACCCGATTTGTTAAATCATCTATTCATCCTGATTGATATGAATTATAAAAATGCGATTATTCTCTTCGTGTGCAGAGAATCATTTAACATTTTCCATTTCTATCAATTCCAAAGGATTTCACTCTTTAAAAATTGACAACAGAAATAAAAGCACCATCGTCGTTCTTTTTGTATAGGTGTGGTTCCAGAACAGGCGGGCAAAATTCCGGCGGAACGAGCGAAGCTCAGCGATGAACCGAGGTGTCTCCGCGGGCAGGGAAATAGAGACCGCTCTACCGTTACGTCCTATCCGGATGTCGCATCCTCCGCAGCATCCAGCGGAGAATAACGCGGAATCGTCACAGGGCGCAGCTGCTACCACCCAAGTAACAGCGCAGTATTCTTACGGCGATTATTGGCGAACGACGCCGCAGCCTTACGCGGTGCAAACCGCCGCGACCGCCGGTTGTCACGGCTTCGCTGCAAACGGCGGCCTCGCGAACATGAGCTTGCCGCCGTACCACCATCATCAGGCCGACATCCATCACGGCACCCTCGACGGAACCGCCGTGAACGGTCTGAGTGCCCTGAGGCTGCGAGCGCATCCCTACAGCTCGACATATCCAGCGATGCACGCGAGTATGTGACATTGTCCCCGGAAATCGAATCTTCAAAACGCGAGAGTGTAACGCTAGGCCTTTGAACATGTAATTTAGATCAAGAGAATTTAAGCTTCCGAAATCAGACTTAAGACTCTTGAGTAGTCATTGCAGTTACCAGATTGAATCGTGACGTCAGAAGGGAAAAATGACACGCTAATTTTTATTACGTGCCATTTATAAATAGAGACAATTTGGATAAAACAAAATGACGAGATTGCTTTAAAACATTTGTAAAAATGAAAACTATACTTATGCCCCTTGACAGTCAGTAAATAGTCGTAAAAAGTGATAAAAGGCACGTGTAAGTGGAAACAGCATACGCGTTAAATAAAAGCACTTCATGTGCCTTTTATTATTTTTTACGATTATTTACCGACTGTCAGGTGGGATAGTTGTCAATTTTTACAAATGTTTTAAAGCAATCTCGTCATTTTGTTTTATCCAAATTGTCTCTATTTATAAATGGCACGTAATAAAAATTAACGTGTCATTTCTCGCTTCTGAGTCGTCATGATTCAATATGGCTGTGGTGACTATTTAGGAATCTTAAATTATAAAAGAGTGATATTTTTCGAAGAAAAAATATATGTACACGGAAAGAATGGTTTTGTTGAAATATTTAAAAATTCAGCTAGATACGAAAATTATTTTTTTGGATCATTGAAATAATTGTGTAGGATGTTCAAACTAGTTGCTAGAATGTTAAAACTTTTTGTAGCATTGTCATTAACGCTTGAACGTTTTATATAATTATTTTGACGAATTAACAAAATTATTTTCAGATCTGTACCTAGTTAAATTTTTAGATACTTCAATAAAATTCGTTATTTTCGTGTATAAAAAAAATGTTCTTTCTTCTCGAAGTTATAAGATTTACATAAGACACGTGCGCGACGGAACTGTTTCTTAGGAATTATTTCTAGATTCTCCGTCTCAGCATAACATGACTCTCCATTTATAAATTCGCGAAGACTGGAATACTTATTATAATTTTATTAACGACTTTCTTTTCTTGCGGACTAGACTGGTCGAGTTGCTCCAATATCATTCTGGAAAAACGATTTGATGCAAACGCGTGAAGAATCATTTATCGAAATCTTTATAAAAGTGACTAGAAAGTTCGCTCGAATCGTCCAAACCAAAGATAAGCTTGACTGTTAAGAATATATTTAATTCGATAGTCGATTTAAGATGATCTCGCGCAGAATCTGGCATCTCTAGGGCTATGTGCAAAGAGAAAAAAAGGGATAATTCTGGGATATTTCTAAGGATTATCGCTGGTAAAAGTCCAACGTTGACCGTGTGCCTTATAACTAATGATAATAATTAACTAACTGTTAATTAGATCAGGTTTAAGCTGTAAGTTTTGAACATACAGGGTAACGAGTAAATAAGTCATAGCGTTTCTTTTTCCCGTCGATAGAGTAGCATATTAAGTTATATGAGGAAGTATATTAGAACATCATAATATTTTAAATACAGAATACAGAAAACGATATTCTACATGGAATTACGGCCTTACATAGATATATGTAGACGGTGTAGATAAAGACAACATCGTGTGCAATAAAAACATTGAGATCGGAGAATGTCTTCGGGTATGTTTTCTCACTGATATATACATATTTATATATAATCAGAAAAGTACACAACATATAGATATATGTAACAAATACATGTATATATGTACACATATCGAAATATATATTGGCACAGGATTAGAATATAGTCAACCGACGTACATACTGATCGTATCCGTATTTTATCTCACTCTTAAAATGCATTATTCTCAACCCTCAGCAGATATTATGAAGTTTTCTTAAATCTCATAGCATAAAACGCTAGTGTATTTAAAGGTTTAAATAATACAAGATCTTACATTTATAAAGTGATATGATTAAAATTCTTCTTTTAATGGATTTTCTTAATTTTACATGGAACGATATTTTACATAGAATGACTGAGACTTAAAAAATCTAACAGCTTAAAAAGATGTATATTACCTGCCGAGGGTTATAAATATCAATGTCTACATCAATCATCTTGGACCATAATATGATATTATAATTTAACAAGACAAACATTCAAAAAACATCAAAAGGATGCCAAAACATTATAGCGTCTAAAAAGTATTCGACGCTTATTTAACATCTTTACGTTTAACATCTTTCTTGATTTGTATTGCCTTAGCACATCAAGAACTTTAAAATCTTTGAAAAATGTTATCATTAAATACAAAATTCAATATTTCCATCTCCATAAATTCATCCAAAGTTAATTGCTTTGGTATTTCCAACATATTTTTTATTCCATACCTTAATACTATACTGTTACTTGGACATTCTGCACAACATTGCTCCAGTCGAGCTTGGATGGCACCAAATAAAAAGCCGGTGCAATCTTACTACCGCAGGGACATTGACTGCCGGCGATCCAGCTGTACGAACCAAGTTTTGTATTACATTTAGGACAATTTAATTTACCCTCAACGTTGTGTGTAATATCGGGCATCCAGGCCAACGGTTCTACAAAGTAAATCTTGTCGCAGAACTCGACTCGCGCCGACTCGTCTCTCCTCTGGATCAATTTGTCACAGCTCTCACCGTCCTTGGAGGCGCTTTTGGCACTGATATGCCGCCAGATCTGCTTCTCGCGCGGTGCATGAGGCAAAACGTTGCTGGCGCTCGCCACGATGCGACGGCACTTTTTACAACGATAAACCGACGGCTCGGGACGCACGGTTGTCAGCGCGGGGTCTGGCTTCACCAAGTCGATGCAGCTCTGCGGAAGAATGCGAGCCTTGCGCACCTTATCGGCGGCGATCTGCAACCGATACATTTTGAACTGCACATTAGTACTGTCGACGCCATAGCTCATATCCTCGTAGAGCCGCAACTGCGCCACGAAACCAGGATTTGGCGCGACAAAGCGACGCTTTGATTTTATTACTTGGAGCGCATCCGCGAAACTCAACTCGTGCTTCTTCATGGTATACGCGATCACTATGGTAGTGGATCGCGACACGCCGAAGTAACAGTGCACCAATACCTTGCCATCAGAGTCAAGGGCACGATCGATAAAATCATAGGAGTCTCCAAAGTGAGTTAGCAGATCTTCTCGCGGCATATCCGTCACTTGTATATACTTTATGATTAAATTCGGGAGACGCTCCTGGATCTTTCTTGGCAACGGACATGAATCTATTGTTAGTATATGAGTTATTCCAGCTTCCTTCAACCAGTCAACATCTGTAGCAGCCGTGAGATTACCCAGGAACAAGCCTGGCTCGATCTCATCAAAGCTGCACGGACCAGCATCAAAATCTTCTCTTGTTAACTTATTTGTGTCTTCCTGTGCCATGCTCAGCACTCTGTAATCATGAGCGAAGCTATGAAGGGTATTTCTAAACCTAATCTAATAATTAATATTGCTATCTACTTCATTACTTTTTATTTCTATTTTAAAATATCCAAACTAGAGATCCATAATGCATTCCACATTAAAATAATAATGGCTACGTTCAGCAGGAAAAGCAGCTTTACAACTGTTGTAAAATTCTTTGATATGATTGGTCTTGCTCTTAGTTCCTCACTGGATCTAAAGGTCTAAATCAATCATATTCGAAAATTTTACAGTTGCAAAAGCTGCTTTTTACAATACTTAAAATAATTTGAAAAGGAACAGAATGGGAGCTTCAAAAGTGAAAATAAATATTCATTATATATTTTGCTATATAACTGCAGTTATTTAATTCTTATTCTGTATTTACATTAAGTATAATCATTATAAAAATGAATAAACATGTATGATTCTAAATACATAACTAAACAAAATATTAACAGGATGTAACTTACAGAGCAATAAAGCTAAATATTTGTCTAGTAAATAAAATATCAATAATAATATATTAGCAAATAATATATTAGCAATTTGTAATCAGAATCGAGTCAAATGTGGTAAATTAATATCGACATTAAGATATAATGTATCTTATACATTAAGCTCATGTTTTGCTAGCAAAGCATGTCAACAGCAAATTGCCAGCAGAAACCGTTGTGAGAAGAATCTGTCATTTCCTAATCATTTAAATGGAATATCATTTCTGCAGTTAATCCACAGAACATTAACCCAGTGTACGCGAGTAACCGAATTCACTAAATGATTTGACAGGCACTACACGTGTGAGGATGACAAAGACGAATGCGCAGTAATTGGCTGTTGCAATATGCAAGACGCACGAAATCAATGGTGTATAAAATGAACTTGCCTTGACAAAAGAAAAGGTTATCCTTGCCGACAAAAACATATGACACAGTATTAACAAATCTACTTTGGAAAACATGCCTTGCACAGGATTATGTCGTTTGATTTGCAACTCACTTGATGCTCGCGATTTCGATACTCAAGTACACACGAATAATAACAAAATGACACACGCAGGATATTCCACCTGCTGCAGGCTGCAGTCCGACGGGCGTCAAAAAGGACGGGATCAGTTAAATCATCTTCGAGAACCTTCGGTTCTATGCGACGAGCCGGTGACACTTAATCGCGAAATATCGCTGCTGTCTGACATTATTGTCATCGAAAATGTAAAAAACACAATTTTCAGAATCAGCTGTGCACATCACTCGGCGTATTCGAAAATAGACCCGGCTCACTTGACTGCCGGTGAAAGAAAAAGAAGCGAAGTTGGCAGCATTGAAAATTAATGTTGCGTTTTCATGTAATGATGACGCCACGTGTCGAACAGAGCCATCTTTTCTTGTCTCTCACTCTCATCTCGCCCTCGTTGCTGTCGCTAGATGTGCTGCGCACGCGGAAAAAGTGAGGTTAGGTTAAGGCGTGCGAGCAGCTAGCAATTGTACGAGTCGCGGAGGAGATCGGACGATCGCGTGAGCGATGTCGAACAAAACTAGAGGTAAGAATAAAAAGGTCGACGCGATCGAGAATGGAACGGACGACGATGTCGCGACCGATGATATCGCGACCGACGAAGTCGCGACAAAGCTCGCGGACGTGGAGATCGAAGGGGAGACGCCGACCAAGAAGCTTACGCATAAGGAGAAGAAAAAGCTGAAGAAGCAGCAGGAGTACGAGCGGACGATGGAGATGCTGACGAAGGCAGGTGGGCAGGGTCACAGCGAATTAGAGTCCAACTTTACGATCTCGCAGAGCCAAACGCAACAACGCGGTAATCAGCAACTGGATAACGCGGTCGACATCAAGGTGGAGAACTTTAGCATAGCGGCCAAGGGCAAGGAGCTCTTCACCAACGCCAGCTTGCTTATAGCGCAGGGTAGGCGATATGGCCTTGTGGGACCGAATGGGTATGCTCTTGCTTTGCTGCATCTAACGTATCTCAGAAATCTAAATTGCTATAAGATCTGTTCTTTGTAGTCGAATCGTGTGAATGAGTATAATATATACTCATTCTCTTAACCCTTAATATGCACCTCTGAGTAATTTATATCCTGCGTATTTCTTTTCTTTGAAATACTAAAAGCACAATGGTCAAATATCTCTTTCCTATTTCTAAAAAAAGTTTGGCATCTAGAGAACAAGTTTTGTGCGTTGCCGGCCTCAATAATAAGTATTCCTTTTATTCTTGTATAATGTATTCTTGTATAAAATATCTATAGACAACACTTTTGAAATGTAATTATTGTTTAATATCAACGATGTTACCCGTCTAAGCCGTTCTTTTATGATAACATGATCCTATGATGCCAAATATGTAAGTTCGTCTAAACCTTTCTTTCGTTATCATATAGTAAAGAAACATTCAAATGAATTAACAAAAGAAAAAAGAAAAGAACTGACCCTTTAACATTATAGGGTTTATTACCATTAAAAGATACAAAATGTGACTTTTATGGTAATATAATTCCATAATGTTAAATGGATAAGTTCTTCTTTCAAAGACATGTAACAGATATGGTACAGAATTTTCTTAGCTTCTTAGTATATTCCCCGGGTTTGATTTTCCACTTTTGTGGGGTCAGTATTATGCGCATCAATTTAGTTTTAGAGCCTCTTCGGAAAGTAAAGGCTCGCTTATGTTTTTGCATTTGGTAGTAGTTTGCACTCTTATTCCTTAGTTTGTCATCACTCGAGGTGACCTACACAGTTTAATGCCGAATCTGAACGGCGAATTCGAAAAATCGCGTATATATGGCGCAAGTGGGATCGAATTCGGATCTATAGATCACGAGTCGCACTGAGCGGCGAGCCACTCGGCGTCTTGTGTGTTACTCTTGTGTTATACTTTATTACTTATTGACAATATATAAACGAGCCGAATATTATGAAATGTCTAAACTTTTAAATCTATTTTGTGATTCATGTAACATTATACAAGATATTATTACAATTCTTCTAGATATAATTTTGCAAACATTTTATATTAACATATTTCTTAAATTAAGATGTAAAATTGACATTTATTCAACAAGTGATATTCGAGTAGATATTATAACTTAAGTATAATTTGAGACGTACAAACGAAAATGTAAAATAAGTATAATTTAAGGAGATGCAAGTATAATATTTACTTTTCTTTGATAGAAATAAATTAAAATATGAAATTCATGATATAAAAAAAATTGAAATCAATTAAAAGAAAAAAATACGTTAGACAAGCAACTATATATGCATCAATTACAGATTAAAATGATAATAAAAAATATAAATTATTAATTTTTTGCGTAAAACAAGGGTAG